ACGAGCGCGTTTGAAGTGGTTCGGGGGCTCTTTGTTCGCCAGGCCGCTCTGGCTCCGGGCCTGGAGGTGGTTTACGGCTTTGATGCCTTTGAACCTATTCCCAGGTGACCCGGGCTCAATTAGGCCCGGGCCTGAGCTGGGCTGTCAGGCAAGCCGCGTGATCAAGGGCAGGCTGGGCCCTTTTATTGAAGTTGAATCCGAGTCCGGGAGCGCTCGGCCTGGCTGCTCCTCGGCCCGGCGGGCGGGCGGGCCGCGAGGTGGGGCCCGCGGGCCGCGACCACCGCGTTGGGGAACGCAGGACGGCGGTGCAGGCCCTTCGCGTCCATCTCCGAAGCCCTGGTTCTGGCCGCTCTAGGGGACGTTTTCCCCAACAGCCCGTCAAGGAAGGCAGAACTCCGAAGAGCAGGCCCTCACACGCATGCGACGACGTCACAGCGCCGTGCTCAGTGTCCTGGCGACCAGCGCCTTCACAATCGGATGACTAAAGGGTTCTCCAGAGTCACCGCGCCCAGCCCCACCCGGCCTGACCGTTCTCCTTCCTCCACTCTGGGAAGGCCTACGGCTTATCCAGCGCAGCAAAAGAGCTTTCCAGATCCCTTTCTTTAAAATTCGCAAATAAAAATTTAGGCAAGTAAAGAGAGAGCAGCCAGGGCCCCAGCCGTCCAGTCGGCGCTGGGACTCAGCTCTGCATGGGACTTTGCGCCTGAGAAGGAGAGGGCCTTCTTCCTGACTTGGCCTTCCACTGACTTCTCGGCTCAGCAGCGATAGATAGCAGCGACTTGCTGCTCTTTTACCAACCTTGCACGTTGCTCAGTTTGGGGAGTCAGAGGACCCAGATCCAGTGACATCCCTCTCTTCCCAAACCCGGAGGCCATTTACCAAGAAGAGGAACCTGCCCTACAGTCTGCTTAACCCCCTCTTTCTGTGTGTTTGTGTTGTTCTCTGTCTCTCGGTCTCTGTCTCTGTCTCTGTGTAACTCTATCTCTGTTTCTCTATCTCCTTTTCTGTCCTCATTCTTTCTCCCCCCCCCCCCCCGCCCCGTGTGTGTGTGTGTGTGTGTGTGTGTGTGTGTGTGTGTGTCCACTTGGGAGAGTTCATAGTTTAATTTGAAAGGAAGACAGTTCAGCTAAGAGGCCTGGTTAGGTCCTGAGCACCCAGGACTCACCCAGCCCGAGAACTAGTTGCCCAGGGGGTGACTTGGAAGGGGAAGCTCAGCTTACTTCTGCCTGGGGAAATGAGCAGGGAGGAATCCACTGCCGAAGCTTTGTGACTTTCACAACCAGCAGCTCAGTTCGACAGTCTAGATAAACTTTCTTCAGTGTCATATCTTTCCTAGTTGAAAATATTTAAATACATTCAAATAGTGGCGTCTTTGATGTTGGTGCCTGCTGAAGAAAACCTTTGTTGATAGAATTTGGAAAGCCTTTCTTACATTGTCAACTACTCAGAGTTATTACCTTGGTGGTGACCCACTTTTGTATCTAGGATAAAATTAGGCACACTGACAGCAGTATTTCCAATGTCAGAGGCAGGTTGTTCAGAGAGGCGACAGTCAGCATTTCTCACTTTTTGAGAGGCAGGGATTGGTTGAATTGAAAAAGCATGAAAAAGTAATCACTTTAGGAAATAATGCCCAGTTTATTGATATAGTTTGAGTTTTTTCATTAAAAATTAAGAGTGATAAGGCTAATAAAACCAATGCATTAATAACATAAGTAGGGAAATACATTTGTGTGTGACTATCCATTGCAGGACCACCCAGGCTGACTTGGACTTGTGTTAAATAGCATGCAATAAAGATTCATGGAAGTAAATATAGTTCTTAGTATATTTATTCATTAATGAGATGGAAAATCATTTCAATGATTCTTTTCATATATGTAAAAAAGTGTGCTTTGTTTCATGTGACTTTGTTCTAAAAAATGATCTGGTGTTCTGAAAGATTTTTCTACTGTGTGTTTTTCTTAGGGAAGCAAGTAGGAGAAGTGGTATGTTTTCACAGTGAATTTGATGGCTATTAGCTTGGCGTTAATCTTGCTGCAGTAGAATGTGACACTGCTGGAATTGTCACCTGGGGATAGTCTTCAATAATAGGACACAGTTATATACAGCCCCTGGACTTTATTGGGATAATAACATGTGTACTTGCTTAGATGTGAAAAAATTTTGACAAACCCTCAGGAGCTATGTAAAGTAACAAATGTATGCATTCAAATGCAATTGCTCATAATCTTTTGTCAAAATGCATACACAGGTACCATCCAACAGACCCTGCTATTTATGAAGTTTTTGATGGAACCAAGAGACAAAAATCAGATACTTTAAAAGGTCCAGTATACACTCTCTGATGATTTGGTGGGTTGTTCAATCTCCACTTGAATTTAGTGAGCTAAAGCTTGAGCAGACGACAGAGCAGCCCGTATCTGTGTGACAGAATCAGCAGATTAATGAATCAACATTTGTCTAGAGGATGATAATGACATCTCCCAGTCAAAGAGCACTTTACTATTTGCAAAGCAAATGTCATTATTAGTAGTAGCAGTCCTACACTAACAGAGCCCTCCATGGACACTTATCTATCAAAATAATCTTGATGCCTTCCTTTTGAATTATTCTATCTTAGATCGAGGTGACAGTGAATGTCACCCCTTATTTTCAGAAGCCACAAATTCCAGAAGTGGGCTCTTGAGAATTATCTGACAAAGTCATGTCATTTCTGAATAAATTGTAGAGGTCTTTGGCATCACTTTCCTCAATATTGGAAACATGTTGTCATAGGAAAATGACTACTCGGCAATGCTTTATGCCTCCTCACAACACCCTCCTCCTGCCATGATTTCAATCATCCGTTGTAACATAGAGGCTGGTGGGGATGCGGGGGGAGATGGGAATAGGCATTTTTTTTCAGTTGCAAAACCCAGGGCTTAAGATGCTTCTCAAATCTAGTTGTAAGATGCAATTTATTCTGATAATGAGCATAACAGCACTTTCTGGATATCAAGTCCAAGAGCCTATCATCTTCCTAAATTATAGCAATGACATCAGTAGAGTGCATTCATACTTACAAAGGACTGGAAGCTGTCATCCAAAGCACACATCCTATACAGGCACAGTTCTCCTTTAAAATTCCCCATTGCTAGTGAGAATATGAAGCAGTATAGCCACTATGGAAGACAGTATGTAGCTCCTCAAAAAACTAGAAATAGAGCCACTATTGGATCCAGCAATTCCACTGCTGGGTATATATATCCAAAAGAAAGGAAATCAGTATGTTGAAGAGATACCTGCACTCCCATGTTCACTGCAATGTTATTCACAATAGCCAAGATAGGGGACTCAACCTCAGTGTCCATCTGAATGAATGAATGAATAAAGAATATGTGTGCAAATGAATGAACAAAGAATATGTGTGCATATATACAATGAAATATTATTCAACCATGAAAAAGTACAAAATCTTGTCATTTGCAGCAACATGAATAGAACTGGAGGTCATTATGTTAAATGAAATAAGCCAGACACAGAAAGACAAATATCACATGTTCTCATTCACATGTGAGAGCTAAAAAAAAAAAAAAGGAATCTGATGGAAGTAAAGAATAGAATGGTAGTTATCAAAGACCAGAAGATGGGGTACAAAAATACAGTTAGGTAGAAGGAATATGTTCTAGTTTGGGTAGTATGTTAAGGAAATTATAGTTAATAATTTATTATATATTTCAAAATAACTAGAACAGAAGATTTATCATGTTCCCAACACAAAGAAAAGACAAACTATTTGAGGCGATGAACATTCTATGTATCCTGATTTGATCATCACACATTATGTGTAGGTATCAAATATCATATATAGCCCCATAATATGTACAACTACACATATCAGAAAAAGAGAGAAATGACATTGATGTCAATCAATGTAAAAATATATTTTTAAATCCCCTTGAAAAATTTCCCCTTGAAAATTCCCTCAGGTGGGCATATGACGTGTCTGTATTTTAGCAGTTCTACCCTTCTGATGCTGCCACACAACAGTGTTGA